TATATATATATATATATATATATATATATATATTCCTCTATTTCAAACTCAGAAAATTCACTCTCCCATCACAAAAATACCTTTTTAATTTAAGCATTAGAACAGATTTATCAGCCAACTCTGCAAACCCTTCATATTTTCTAATCCCCACTTGGAGATGGTTCTAATTCTTAAATTCGGAGCACGCCAAAAACTGTCAAGAGGGAATTGTTGATGAACAAATGTGTCATGACGGGTGAGTCAGCATGACTCAGTACGGATTCGCGTGTGGGGGTGTTCCCTTTGATGATTCTTGGGTTGACGTGGTAGTACACGGGTCGAACAACATCTTGGTACGGATTCTGACCTGACGTATATCACGGACTTAGCTGGTTTTGCCTAAGTCGTGCGGCACCCTTGCGTGTCCGTCCGCAAAGGTCAGCCTCCCCGAAGCCTCCTATGTCCCTTAGGACCCACAAAAGAGAGAACGGGTTAGAGAAAACACCTCATTCGGGATCCACAAGCAAACATTTCCGAAAACACTTCATAGACAATGCAAATTACAAACAGACTTTACAAGCTCTGAATAGTTGCACAACAAAGGGTAAAATGGTCCATTACAGACCGAGAATCTCTCACACGTGTCCCCATGACACAACATTTATTTACAAACCTAAAGCGGCCACCAACCTAACTAAAATGAGACTATTAAGTCTTCGGTCGTCCCTCTACATGTTGTACAAAGCATGAACATATCAAAAGACACGGACGTACATAAGCATTGCATCAAATATCCTGTTTAGAAGTTTGTCCGTGACAGTATGGCATCGACTGTGACGTGTCTTGGACCCAAAATATATTTTATCAAGAACTATAGGCTATACCCCCAAATTTATCTGTTTGGCTATCCGGACTTACCGTTTAAGATATTTCGGACCCAAATTATTAGTACTTAAGCTGAGCTCAAGTTTCGAACACCTCTTCGTTTTTTTTCTATTTATTTTTATCTTACCACTATCATTCCATTTTGGTTCAAACAAGTAATCAGTAATCTTCCACCCATCCCACGAAACCACGATTCCGTTACGGGTCCAAGTTTTAGACTCCATCACGGGGCCAAACCAAATGCTTTATTTCCTCCCCTCTTCCGCCGCTTCATCGCCAGATCTGAAAATGGCGACCCATGAATCCAACAACGGCATCGGCAAGAGCGAGGCCAAAGTCGACACCGCCGGATCCTTAGCCGGTGACGGGGAGGCGCAGCCGGCGTCGTCCCAGATCCAGATGGGGAGCGGTGGCGGGGAGGTGCCGCGGCCGATGCCGGGGGAGCGGCGCAAGGTGGCCCTGATCACCGGCATCACGGGGCAGGACGGATCGTACCTGACGGAGTTCCTGTTGGGGAACGGATACGAGGTGCACGGCCTCATCCGGCGCTCCTCCAATTTCAACACCGCCCGCCTAGACCACCTCTACGTCGACCCCCACAACGCCGTCAAGGCCCGCATGAAGCTCCACTATGCCGACCTCTCCGATGCATCCTCCCTCCGCCGCTGGGTCGACGCTCTCCTCCCCGATGAGGTCTACAACCTCGCCGCCCAATCCCACGTCGCCGTCTCCTTCGAGATCCCCGACTACACCGCCGACGTCGTCGCCACCGGCGCTCTCCGCCTCCTCGAGGCCGTCCGCTGCGCCACCAAACCCGCCCGCTACTACCAGGCCGGCTCCTCCGAGATGTTCGGCTCCACGCCGCCGCCCCAGTCGGAGGCGTCCCCGTTCCATCCCCGCTCTCCATACGCTGCCGCCAAGGTCGCCGCGCACTGGTACACCGTCAACTACCGTGAGGCCTACGGCCTGTTCGCCTGCAACGGCATCCTGTTCAACCACGAGAGCCCCCGCCGTGGCGAGAACTTCGTCACTCGCAAGATCACCCGCGCCGTCGGCCGCATCCGCCTCGGCCTTCAAACCAAGGTCTTCCTGGGCAACCTGTCCGCCGCCCGCGACTGGGGCTTCGCCGGGGACTACGTCGAGGCCATGTGGATGATGCTGCAGCAGGAGGAGCCCGGAGACTACGTGGTCGCCACCGAGGAGTCCCACACGGTGGAAGAGTTCCTCCAGGCCGCATTCAGCTACGTCGGACTAGACTGGAAGGACCATGTGGTCATCGATCCCCGGTACTTCCGGCCCGCTGAGGTCGACAGCCTCAAGGGAGACTCCACGAAGGCGAGAAGGGCGCTCGGATGGAAGCCTAAGGTGGGGTTCCAGGATCTGGTGAAGATGATGGTGGATCATGACATCGAGACTGCCAAGAGGGAGAAAGTGCTCGTGGATGCCGGATACATCGATGCCCAGCAGCAGCCATAAAATAGAATCGAATAGAGCTTGGTCGCTGGGAATCCTAAAATGTTCCCTCTCCTCTCTGCTTGGTTTAACTCACCCAGATGGAGTGTTTGATGAAATGCCTAAAATCTCCAGAGTTTTGTTGTCTGTCTCTCGATGATATTTGTTGCCCTATAATGTATTCCGGATCTTTCTGTTCTAATAATTCCGCAAACATTATACAAAACTCTTAGTTTGCCACCTTCCCTTGGTTTCTCTCCCTCTGCATTCAGATGTTCGATTGCCAGACCCAACACTATCCGTTTCCTACATGCAGTGTAATCTCAATGCCTGTGGCTTATCCTATACCGTGTTCATCCGATCACTCTTAACTGAGCCTGCAGCAGGACTTGATCCAAGGCTGGAAACGTTCCACCTTTTCTGCACATATTTCTGGCGGAAGACTAGTATATGTAACGATTTAGTTCTCGTTCGACTGATAGCTCCACATATATATACTATTCCCACTATAGCAGCTATTATAACCATTTTAAAATGCACAACAACAGAAATGATGAACATATACAATGGAGAAGAAACAAATTATAAGATCAGGTTAAGCTATTAGTTTCAAGCAACGGCGAGGGTGTCACACCATTTTGCTTTCATTCCCAAGAACACTATATATATATATATATATATATATATATATATATATATATATATATGTTACAGATGATAGCCACGCTTTCACAAAACGACAATAAAAATCCTTATACTAGAATACCCTTCCTATTGATTTCTACCTTAAATTTAAACATGATTTGACATCAAATAAGATGGAGTACAAAAAAAAAACCTTATACTAGACCAATGAATCACATGAATGAAGCTTAGAATTCAAGATGATATGGACGAAGATGATATAGCATAATACTATAAGCTCACAACCATGGACATGTTTGTTGATAATTAGCCAAAAAATGGCCCAAGAAATTATCACCTATGTGGATTATTTATTAGATCACAAACAAGTCATCTGTCTAACCATACATAAAGGACACCACATCAAAAACTGAGCCCAAATGTCGAAATTAGGACAACACACTCGTACAAATGCTATCAAGTCAGAAACTCAAACAGGCATAAAACATCAAGTCTGACATGAAAGATCTAAAGAAAATGAAGATCTCAAGAAAAAGCTGGATCCAGTGTCCTTGTCACAGCTTCTGTTCCTCAGCTTTCTTTGGCTGTAAAAGTAAATGCACATCTTACACTGATTCTCAGGATACTCAGAGAAAATACGAATAAAAACTTCAATTAAATTCCAGTATCAGATAACATCCAATCAAGCATAGCTATATTAATGGAATAACACAAACAATTTTGAATTTCAAGAGAAAGTTGTTTGTGAATTAGATAACTGAAATTCGACTGAATCTTGAGTACACAATCTAAACTTTTGCAAAGAATTAGATAACTGAAAGTTGAAGGACAAAAGGAATGCTACCAACCATCTTTTACATGACTCCTCAGCAATTGGGGCAACAAAAAGGAATCTTCACTAGAAATATTTGAATAAATAAATTCATAACATAACTCATGCGATAAACATGTATCCAATTTAATAGATAGTTCATATGTATACAAATGGTTCTATGTTTCGGCCGGACCGGTATGTACTGGTCCAATGGCTTGTTGGTTCAGCAGGATGGATTGTAGTACATGCCTCCTAACACCATGTGTTGTCCAATCTTAAAGAAGTTTGCAGCACGTGTTGAGGTACCGTATCGTTATAAATTAATGCATAAAAGCATTAAATAGAGAAAATATTAAAAAGCTTCACAAAACTAGTGTATCTAACAATTAGGCCTACTAAGTAAGCGAATGCCAGAAACAAAACCACAGTTACACCATAAAACATCTGACGCAAGACGAATGGAGATGATGAACTGCTACCTTGGTAGGGCCTACTAGCGAGAACAAACCTGATTTCTCATCATTATCACTAATGTAAGAATGAAACCTGATTTCCTTTTCAAGGACTGCTTTTATTTATTACAAGAGTCTCCTGTTATTAATGCTTTTTGGAAGAATATCATAATTTTCACTCTATGAAATCCACCTACCAGCCTTTAGTCCATTTAATTATGTTGTTGGTTGGAATCTTAGGCCACGTAGGGCCCTTTCAAATCCAGAGCAACATACCTTTCCAGGCTTTCTTAAACTAACAGATACGGGACCTGGAACATTGGCAAAACATCTATAGAATGTCTTCTAGGCATGCAGTAAAGTTTTTTCTCACCATACATCAGCTACTAATTGGCTGGAAGTTGCCATGCTAATCTAGACTATTAATGTATGATGACTTCCAAAACTGGATTAAATCTAAACTCAAATCACCTAAAATTGACTCGCAAACCGATCCAAGCTGGATCTATATAACTCATAGAAATTAACTCAGAGCAATGAACCTAATTTACAATATTTAGAAATCAATCAATCCCATCTCTGAGGCCTTTTGGTAAAGCAATTAAATGCTCAAACCAGACCTCATATGGGTCCAAGATCCCTTTCTATCGTGTTCATCTTTAGTTTGCATTAAGCTCTTTCTATTTCGTCCGCCTTTACTTTGTATCACATAATCCTCTATCCATGTACCATCACTATCAAAAATGGATTACTGATCTACTATTTGCAATACATTCACATAAGCTAGAATCAAAATTGCAATCTTTGGATTGGCACAGACTACAACAACATAGTGACACAGTAAATCTTTGTGAAGTAGGACAACATGGCGAGAACACTGAAATCAGTAAGTATACATGTCCTATATATTGATAAAACTTTGTCTCTTAAAAACATCTAAGATTTACATAACCTATGATCATCGATATCTCACTTTAAATAGCATTCACAAATATACTTCAAACACATGCAAAACATTAAAGAGATTATTCATATCACAGTAAGTGAGAAGTACAAAAATACAGACATTTCACATGATTCAATATACATATTGCACAGTATTCAATATGTTTAGCAGAAGTGCATAAGTGAAATAAGTGCCCTACATATACATAACGAGTTACATTAGTAAAAGTCATTACAAGCATCCTAACTATTCAAAGGCCTGTAATTATAGATCCTCATGAATAAGATAAAGGGATTAAGTACAAGAAGACTAATCATCACCAAGTCATAGTTTACCAGATAGGAAGCAAGTTCATGCAGCTCGATTCAGCCAATGAAATAAATTAATCTGATGTTTAAGTCTGTTTGAGTTACAGTGTCCATTGAGCCATGACTTGGACTGATTTGAAGTTTACATCTTTAGTTTGATTCAACTGACAAATAGAACAGGCTACACTGTGTCTGAGTGGATGTAATTGAGCAAAGAAATCTTATATAACTTGGGTCTTCTAGGGACAATATGTGCCTAACCGGGAGTCAATTAATTGCAATTTGTTAATCTTTTAGAGTTACTACAAGAATCTATTTTTATAACGCTTTTTTTAATATTTGAGAACATAGAATCCTGACTAACAATGGCATCAAGGTCAGGCAAGGTGGGATTGATACAACTCACCCCTGCCCCTATCCAAATTCTAGATGATGTTTAAAAAAATATTATATCATTCTCTACCCACACAAAAATCATGATAGGCATCGGGTTCTTTTCCACCCCCAACAGATGATGAAACTTGGTGATTTCCAGCATCTGAAGTAATCAAAGTGGTAAATCTCTCAGGTGAAGATGAGGAGGTCTTGAAAAATAAGATTGTACTTTATTTGATTGGTATGTTGAAGATGAAGAAGGTACAACATGACAACAACAATAAACAACATGAGAAGGATTGACAACCTTTTAAATGGTTAGAGATAAGGGAGGCACCCAAAAATCTGTTTGCCTTCCAATTCCTTGATAAAGGGGTCGATAATTCATTCAGAATGATAGGCCATGGGATTTTGACAAGCAATTATCAATTCTACAAGGTCTTACAGGATGCGAATGGCCATCGTCATAGAATTATTCTACATCCCCATATAGATCAGGACCTACGATCTGCAATTTAATTGTAAGAATCTAAATATAACTAAAGCTATTTCAGCTAACTAGACAGAGCATGCTGGTATGAATAACTCAAATAAAGTTGGATATGTAAATCCCTTGGCTCTGTTAGAAGTCAAACTCTCTAGAAAGAAGTCCTCTAATAAAGGGAACAATGTCTGTATACTGGACTTCAAATCTGAAAGGATTGTCCAGCTTTTGTTACTCATGGAATTATCAGTACTCAATGTATAATACCGACGCCTAATCAGTTGAAAGAAAAGGAAGCTAATACTGAGATCGGCATCCAAGAAGGGAAACATACCAGCACAAACAACGGAAACATCAACAAGTCGCACGGGATCTGTATGAAGAAATGCCTCGCCGAGAAAGTAGAGACAGAACGAAGTAAACACGCACCTTAGTACCGGGGAAGGATTGGTGGATCTCCTCCTCGGGGATGAGTACGGGCCACGGCTCGCCAGCTTCGCGGAACATCTGTTCGGTCTCGAGGAGCTGGCCGCGGTCGAAGATGCGCTGGCGGATGGCCTGTGCGGGGACACCGGCGGCATCTATGATCTCCTCGACGCCATTGACGTAGGTCACAGCGATCCGCGGGGGGCTGTCGTCGGTGCGGCGCTGCAGCTCAACCTGGCAGGAGGGGTTGGATTCCTTAGCCTTACGGGCATTGCACTGCGCCAAGATCTCGACGCACGCCGCCTTCCGCGGGTCCAGAGCGTTGTACTCCACCCGCACCTTCGACAGAAACTTCAGCATCCTGTTCCTGCTGAACAGGAGAGGTAAGGAAGAGATCGAACGAAGCGAAGCGAGCAGGAGAAGCGCGGTAAGCGGTGGTACGCTTAAGGCCACTTTTACCAGTAGAGAGGCAAATCGTCGGGCAACAGGCGTAGCGCGGTATCCGAGGAGGCGGCGGCCGCCGCGAAGATTAGGAAGTTCTCCCTTAGAGGAGGAGGAGGAGGAGGAGGAAGAATTTGAGGCGGTGATGGGGTTGCATCTGGTGGGGAAGGGGTCTGATGCATGCGAACCCGGTGACATGAGGCGTTCAGGTTTAGGTTAGGTTGTGTCTTGGTCGGACTTGGGTCCAATGTAAAGGCCACATCATCTAAATATTATAATATTATTATAATATTTTCGTCGGGCTCATTTATAATATTATTATCTTGTTTTTGTTGATGTGCTTAAAATATTATAAACTTGTTCACCATAAATTACATCATCATATTATGTGTCTTTCATTGATATTAATTATAGATTATTACAACATCATATTTTTAAATTTATAGTTAGTGTTGGTGTAAACAACTTTTCTAGCCGTGGCCTCGGGATCGATGCGACTTGTTCGGGGGTCCGAATGGCGGGGATCTCGCGTGACGTCCCTTGAGGTCTCCCGACGGCCGGTCACGGTGGTCGGGTCGGGATGTCGCGTCGGGTGAAGAGCTTTGTCGCAGTGTCGGGAAGAGGCGACGTCGTCTTGCACCTGCACACAGGTCGGGTCGGAAGCTCAGCCCGACCCCTCCGACGATCAAGTCAGTGACGTAGAGGGGGTTTTGGAAGATGGAGTGCCTCTATATGTGTTGTGGCTGTCCCCCCGTTTGTCTAGAACTCTGGGGTATTTATGGATGAGTTTGATGTTACCTGATGTGACTGCCAGCAGGAGCAGGACCGTACCTTCGATGGCATCTGACATTGCCACTGGGGTTGCGTGGAGAACCGAACTGCCGTAGGGTATGGGCGAGCTTCGGTCGACGTCCTCCTCTGCCTTGGTCGAGCGCGCAGGGTCAGACGGTTGAGTCGTTGACCGGGAGCGGGTGACGCTGACGCATATCAAGTCGGCGTTAATGCCCATTTCCTCGGGCAGTGCGTCGCCCAGGTACGGCTGACGTCATGGCGCATTACATTGCCATTTTTACCCTTATCATATTCCCCCCTCGCAAGGAGCTATGCGTCAGTTGTCGTATGCAGGGGATCCGAGGCATGACTTCTTACTTCAGGTGGGCTGGTTCCGCAAACCCGAGGAGCACGACGTAGGCGGGCTGGCCGCGCGGTCGTGTCTCGGGCAACATGGGGCCGAGGTGCACAACTCAATCGGGAAGCCGAGCAGAGATCGGGGTCTCGGAGAGCGTGCGACTGGTGAGCACGGCGCAGGCGGGCAGGTCGCGCAGGCGTGGTCTCGGGCAACGTGTAATCGAGGAGCGCAACGCAGGTGGGCAGGCTACGCAGGTATGGTCTCGGGCAACACGCAGCCGAGGAGCACGGCGCAGGCGGGTTGAATGCGCAGGCGTGGTCCCGAGTAACATGCAACCGAGTAGCATGACTCAATCGGATAGGCCGAGCATAGGTGGACTCGGGGGTCATGGAGCCGAGGAGCACGACGCATGCGGGCAGGTCGCGTAGGTGTATCCCGGAGAGTATTGAGCCGAGGAGCACGACGCAGGCGGGCAGGCCGCGCAGGTGTGTCCCGGAGAGTATGGAGCCGAGGAGCACGACGTAGGCGGGCAGGCCGCGCAGGCGTGGTCTCGGGCAACGTGTAACCGAGGAGCACGATGAAGGCGGGCATGCCGCGCAGGTGTGTCCCGGAGAGTATGGAGCCGAGGAGCACGACGCAGGCGGGCAGGCCGCGCAAGCGTGGTCTCGGGCAACGTGTAACCGAGGAGCATAACGCAAGCGGGCAGGCCACGCAGGCATGGTCTCGGGCAACGTGTAACCAAGGGGCACGACGCAGGCGGCCAGGCCGCGCAGGTGTGGCTCGAAGAGTATGGAGCCGAGGAGCACGACACAGGCGGGATGGCCCGAGAAGCTGCTTGTGCCATTTTCCCTCCTTGTCCATTTAGCAGTAGCGAGGGTTGAAAGCTTCCGCCTTTAATTTCCTTTCTCGGGGGGGAGCTAGTTGCTTTTGTCGCACGCTTTTGGGCGTTGAGATCGAGGCGTCAGGGGGCTGCCGCTTCAGCGGGGTTGCCACGTCAGGTTTTCATTAAGGCGGGGCGCCTTTTTGGCATTTCCGACGTGACGGTTACGCACGTGCGCAGGTGGGCTGCCGCCCACTCTCGGGAGGCGAAGGGGCGCTGGTTTTGGCGGGGTATCTCCTTTAAATAGCGGACGCTCGGCTTTGTTCCCATCTCTCGTTTGCTGATTTTTCTTCCTCCGGACCTTGCCGTCTTTCTTCCAGTCGTCCTCCTCGCCTTTTGCATTGCCCTCCTTTCCCGTAGCACCCCCAGTTAAGGTCAGTGAGGATGACATCCTCTCCTTCTTCCTCTTCTACCCCTTCCCACGGAGCTAGGGAGGGAAGTCCTCCGTCCCCCGTTGAATCATCTGATGGGGAAGCTGTTGAATCTCGGATTTTGATGATGAAGTCAATTGTCATTTGTTGTCTAATCTATGTGTTGAGATAAGTGTGCAGGATTAACTACGATGAAAGATAGACAAG